AGTTTCCCAAAATACCATACAACATACAACCACAGATTATCATGTAATATACATATAGTTGCCATGGGCTCCACTAATGTTCTTTATCTGGAATGTCATGGGCTCCCCCATGGTCTTTACCTAGAATGTCATGGGCTCCCCCCATGGTCTGATTTCCAAATTCCACGGGCTAACCTCGGGGTCTTCCATGCAAGTATCACAGAGATAACTAGCATATCAGATAACACGTAATGGGCCGACATTGGTGCCTTCGACCCATGGATATGGTGAGAAGACTCACCTCGCACTGTCGAATCAAACAGAAAATCCTTGGTTCCTGGCTGACAGATCCCCGAACTATCGAAGTCAAAACAACACCCAATCAACAATTGGATTCCAATCCATAACCATAAATCCATTACTAGGGTAAATGACGAATTTACCCCTCACCTACTATTAGACCAAGACTTAGACCCAAACCTAATAGTCCACAAGGCCCAAATACCAAAAGCTATCCAAAGCCCAATCCATGGCCCAATTTTCCAAATTGGACCCAAATCCATAGTGGGCCTCCACAAATAAATATCAACCCAAAACCTGATGACCCAACAACATAACTCAAGGCCCAATCTATACCTGAGGCCCACTCAAAGTCCTGAGGCCCAACCAGAGCCCAAACAGCTAATTCATAGCCCAACGAAACAATCCAGCCTAATCGAAGCCCATTCCAAGAGAGTCCAAGTCCAAAAAGCCCAATTCCCATCTGATCAGACGTACGCACAATGTACATGGGTTGTACGTACGTCGTACGTCGCTGGTCCGAAAACGGGCATCATAGGCAGAACGCACAGCATTCCCCAGTGGTACGCACGACGTTCCCTTCGGCCACCCAAAAGTCATTCCAATGATTTAATCCTTTAAGCCAAACGTCCAAAACCTCATAATAGCTAAATATAAGTGACTTGATCCATAAAGTTGAAGGCTTTAAGGCTTTGCATGGCCTAATGAAGTCGAATAACCAAAGATGAACCCCAAAAGGTCAAAATCACTCCAAAAATGTCTTTAAACTTCTAAATACCTTAAGACCTCAGTCCAAACTTCTAGATCTTATTTCAAGGGACTTCTTAAGTCATAAAGTTTCAACTTTATGACTTAACATAACTCAATGGGACCCAAATCAAAACCCTAAGACCCAAACTTCATCAAATGACTACCAAATCATGCATGGAAGGTTTATACCCATCAAGATCCAAACTTATGACTCCATAACCTCAACAAGGACCAAATATGAAGCTCAAAGGTTCTGGAGTAACTTCTACTCACAAGAACAACCTCAAAGGGACCAAAACCATAACAAAATATCACTTATCTAGATCTACATGAACGAGTTGTCAAGGTTGAGACTTTATACCTCCAGAAGATAGATCTAGGTGCACAAAGCCTGGATCCAAAAGCTCCAAGTCAAGCAATGACTCTTCAAGAAGTTCCTTCTTCTTCCTCAAGCACCAAAAACACACATAAATCACTTTGAAGCTCAAAAATCACTCAAATGGAGGCTAGGGTTTCGTTCTTAGGGTTAGAGAGGATGGAGGCTGAAGGAAATGAGGGTTGGAGGTGAGTTAAGGTCTTTAAATATGGTCCAAGACCCTAAATTAGGGTTTTAATATGGCCTGACGAACGCAACGCGTTCCCTTAGGGAACACAGGGCGTTCCCAAATGCTTCCGCGTCCAAATTCCCATGTACGCCATGCGTACCTCCCTTGTACGCCATGCGACCCGGTTTGGTCCAAACCCTTCTAATTCAAATGATCATAACTTTTGTATCCCTTATCCGTTTTCGACGTTCTTTATATCCACAGAAAGGTAACGAGAAGTCCTACACTTCTATACACTTTATTTAGTCTGAAAACCAATCCGAAATTAAATCCAAAATTCATAAAAGGCCCGAACCAACGCCTTTACCGATACTCTTGGGCTCCAAAACACAAACCGAATATCTGGATCATCCAAACTACATCATTCACCTCCAAATGAGCCTAAACTCAATTCTTCAAGAGTTCTAAGTCTGCTAATACCCACTCCTTGATCACCACCCCACAATGGGAAACGGTTCGAAACAGGGCGTTACATTTATTAGAAAAGAATGAACCCAAAGACACAAATGAGGTACTTATCGAAAGCATCATCTTAATGAATTGCACCTATCATAATGAAAAAAACTCAAGATTTTACAATATGACTTTGCAGAGTAGATGGTCATTCGAAACTCGCCATGGGTAGGTCGCATGAGGTTTGTTGTAAAATAATGGGCTTTACACTTTGTCCCGTGAGAATACCGTGTTATATCTCTTCTCTCACCCGACCTTTGCTATTTATTGCATAGACAAGGGGGGACAGAAAGGCCTTACCCCTGAAGATCAAAACAAGTTAGGGAGTCCATGATGACCTCTTGATTAAATAGAACCAGAGGAGGATGAAAAGGAAGAGCTTATGATGACCATATATTTGAGTCGATCATTTTGTAGATCTAATTCGAGTGTTTTCTTTTTGCAATGGAAATGTTGTAAAGCAACTTCTTGTGCTTTTATTCCAGCCAATGAAGCTATTAGTACAACTTTGCAGAGTAGATGATCAATCGCTATGGGCCTATGGATTGTTTGTATATTAACGTTTAGGGTTTAGGCCCAAGGCCCTTTGGGTTTAGGTTAGGTCAAACTCTAGCAACCAGCGATGCCTCCAGATCTAGTCACCATCGCCGCCGCCGTTATCACTGACTCCTATTCTTGATCTCTACGGACCTTATCCTCGTCTATGTTTTTTGTTTTTTGTTTAGATCCAATTTTAAGGTCCCCAATAAAATTGCATGGATGTTAGTACGTTAGCATTTAGAGTTTAGGCCCAAGACCATTAGAATTTAGGTTAGTCGGACCATTTCTTTTTATATAATGTTTAATCATATCTATCGAGCAAATTAAAAATGTATGTGCAAGGTGTACATGATTTTCCAATAAAGACATTTGTGATGTACTTGTTACAGCCTTGAGGGGATTTTAGGAGTTTAGGTTACCTTATTGGCCTTTCTATGAGGCGGATTGAGTTCTCATACTTCCGGACTTTATATTAGAAGTTTATGAACACTAATTAAAGGGGTCTTGACGAAAAAAAAAACCCTTTTTTTCATGACTAGATCCCTTATCTTATTGAAACACTTAAAAGCTACTCACATTCAAATTTTGACTAATAACTTATCATAGAGGTTATCTTTTAAGACTTATCTTCTCATAGTGTTTTTGACATAATTTTGAAAAGGTACATAATTTTCAAACGTTTCAATAAGTTAAAGAAACTTGATATGTAATTTTTAACAAAAATACAAAATACTAGATTGGTAGAATGAGAACCACTAAACTACCGAAATACTTGCATAGTTGAATGAGAACTTTAATCACCAATATACTAGCCCGGTAGAGTGGGAACATTGTATTGGAACACTTTAAAATATGACATTTTTCAAAATTTGAGCAATAACCGGTTGTCGACATAATTTTTAAAAAGTACATAGTTTCCGGTTTATAAACTTATATACATATGAAGAGAGTAAAAGTACATAAGTTTTTTTCAACAAAAGCCATTCTTTTAATAATGTAGTTGTTATCGTTTATAATGTTATCCAGTTTCTTTAAGAAAATATACTCCTGCATATTAATTTGTTGAGATTTTTGAAAAGAATACCAAAGAAATAACTTATTTGTCTAGCTAGTAGACCAGATCAATAATATATTTCAGTTACCAAAAAATTTCACACCAACACATTTTCAAGTGATGTGTAGAATTATCCACATGATTATTTTTAGGGAAATTTTCATAAAAACCACTGTATTTTGTTTTGTTTTTTTTTGGTTTTACCATCGAAATGATTTTATTTAAATTTTAACCAATGAGAGTTTATTTTTCATGAAAATCACTACATAAAATATTGAATTCTTTATAAACCACTACAATTTGGAATTTGTTGGTTGAACCACTCAAAACTTTTATTTTTATGATCTAAACAATGAAACTTGGACTTTTTTTTTTCCTAGAAAAATCATACTTGATATTGTTCTGATTGGTGTTTGCTAGTCATTACCAAAAAAAAAAAAAAAAAAAAAAAAAACTTACAATGGTTATTATAGAAAAACAAACTTTTAATGAATATACCGAAAATAAAACAAACTTTCATGCTTAAATCGGAAAAAAATCTCATTTTAACAGGAAAAAAAATCAAACTATAATAGTTACTATTTATTTATTTATTTATTTTATTCTGACATCTACAAATATGATTTATTAAATATAAAGTAATATAGGTTACTATTTATAAATAAAATAATAAAAATATGACAAGAGGTATTTTGTTATTTTAACACTGGGATAGAAACTTCTTTTATTATTTTATTAATTTTATTCTGTCATCTACAAAAACATCCTTCTTTCGTACTCTCGGGATTTATGTTTTTAAAGCTTCAAGAAAAAGGCGTAAGGGGCTTTGGCAGCTCCTTCGCTACGCTTCCTTCCATAAATCCAACTTTCACATTCTTTGCTTCACAATTCATCTTCCAATCCGAAGGTAATCTTCACTTTTCTTTAATCTAATCCCTTCTTCATCTTCCAGATCTTTTCATATTTGTGTGTTTATGAACCCACCGATCAAAAAAATCTGTTTTTCTAGTAGTTATTAACTAGTTTTCTGAAATCGTTCTATACGGATTGTTAATATACAAGAGAAGTTATGAATTTGTTGTTAAACATGCTTTGAATTGTATGTAAGTAGTGCGTGATCGTGTGACTGAGTTTTTGGTTTCTGAAATTTTCAGAATTATTTAGCTAGGGTTTTGCATGATAACTTTGTTTTGATTGTGTAATTTCAGGGAGAATTGAGTTATCTGCAGTTGCTACCTTTTTCTTCATGGCTATTATCAGTCGATAGAATCGATTTTGCCAGAGGTTTTGGGGGAGGATTTAGCGATATATTAGCTGAAATGCCGTCTACAAGCAGTTCCAGTATGTCGTTTGGGGGATTCCGATCAATTTTAGGATTTGGAAACGATCATAATCAAGTTCATATGGAGGAGGTGAACAACGATTCTAAATCTCCACTAGATCGTGAACTTGAAAGGTTTCAAGAACAAGTATTCACTCAATTCCATGCACTTTCATCTTCTTCTCCCGATGAATTTCTCTCCATTTTTTGGATATCCAAGCTACTAGACGCATTCATTGTTTGTCAAGAAGATTTCAAGGTCATTCTCTTGAACAATTCTGAAAATTTCTCAAAACCTCCATTAGATAAACTCCTTACAGAGTTCTTCGACAGAAGCATCAAAGCTCTTGACATATGTAACGCTGTTCGTGATGGAATTGAGAAAGTACGCCTTTGGGGTAAACACTTAGCCATTGTTTCAAGTGCTTTTGATTCAAAACAGAGAAACATGATAGGTGAAGGCCAGTTTAGGCGTGCAAGAAAATCATTAACTGATTTAGCCATTGTTATGCTTGATGATCATAAGGAATCTGGATCTGTGTTTTCACATAGAAACAGATCTTTTGGGCGTCCAAACAAAGGTAAAGATCTGAATCAACGTAAGCATGGACACTCAAGGTCTCTCTCATGGAGTGTTCCTAACTCATGGTCAGCTACTAAACAGCTTCAATCAATGTCCAACAGCTTGACTCCATTTCCACCTCGAGGAAATGAAAATGGTGGAAATTCCAGTCTTCAAAATTGTGTTTTCACAATGGGATTTGTTCTCATGTTTGTGTTATGGACTGTAGTTGCTGCAATCCCATGTCAAGATCGTGGTCTTTTCAATTTCTCAATTCCAAGACAATTCTCATGGGGAACTCCATTGTTCTTTCTTCAAGCTCAGATTTTAGATGAATCAAAGAAACGTGAACGTAAGAACAGCCCTGGGCTTTTAACAGAGATTCAACAAATGGAGAAGTCAATCAACTTGATCTCAGATTTAATTGATTCTGTTCATCAGTTTCCATTGACAGAAGAACAACAGAAAGAAGTGAAAGATGGAGTTGAAGAGTTATCTTTGGTTTGTAGCTTGTGTAAGAATGGATTAGATACATTGGATTGTAAATTGAGGGAGGTTTTCAGGAAGATTATGTATTGTAGGACTGAAGGGCTTGGAACGTTGACCACTACATAATCTTGAAGATCAAAATGTTGAAAAGAACAAAAAAATGAAGGTGATATTTGTAATTTACTAGTAGCTTTTTTTTATGTAAGAACATGCTATCTTTCTTTATTAATGTGATTTTATTGAATATGCATATAAACATAGATATATCATATAATACAATCTTGCAAAGTTCAAAACTAGTTATTATGCTTTACTATATATAAATTATAAAAGACCCAAGAAAATGACTATATATTTAGGACCAAAATTGCAAAAATCAGCTATGCTTAGGGACCCAAAATAATCATCCTACTTAGAACAAGGACCAAAAAACCTCAGGACCAAAATTACTAATGGAAACTTTTTACGACCAAATTTGCAAAAATAAGCTACAATTAATAACCAAAAACGTAATTTACTCGTCAAACATATTGATAATTGACAAAAAAAGGAGAATCGTGTTTGATCAAAACCAATTTCAGCAACAATCTATTAATTTAGCATATGATAATATAAAAATAAAGAAAATGTCGGGGGTAGATATTGACATATTATAATTTAAGAAAGTCAATTATTTGAAATGGGAACATGTTGAGATATGAATCATGATTTATTGATTTATGACATGAATGACATGTTTAAAATTAATAGGTATATAGACAATGATATATTTTGATGGTCCCCCTCTCCCTATAAATAGCTTCCATTGCTGGAAATATGGTGGTTTTAGTGGACAATGGACATGCAACAGGCTGTATATAGTTTGGAGGTCAACAATGTTTGGCAATTGGTATCCATCAATTTCATCATATTAATATTAACTGTGTTTGTTACATGAGATTGGACTGAACTGAAAAGGATAAGACTGATTCGATTTATTAGGTGTTTTTTTTTTGTTACATGGACAGACTAAACTAAATGAGAGTGAATATACTTTATTGGGTATTTCCAGTGACAGGTGACGGATAACAAGGCAATCTTGTCTTTTACACAGACAAAAAATATTGAGTTATCGTCCCATATTTTTTTGTGACAAAAAAAAAGTTAATTTTTATTCGATTTACATTGGAACAAAAATTAATTTTTTTTGGGTATTTATAGTAATCATATCTTTTGTACAAACAAAGATAACAAGTTATCCTCTCTCTCTCTCTCTCTCTCTCTATATATATATATATATATATATATATATATATATATATATATATATATATATATAATATATATATATTTGGCGAGTATACGTAGGGAAGGTGGGTCTATTCTTTTTTTTATAATAAAATTTTATAAATGAACTACCTTAAATTGTTTGACAAAGAAGTTAATATAATTCATAACTTTTAAAGCTCGTATCTTATATCTCAATAGCCCAAATATTTAAATACTCATTAAGAAATAAGCAAATCTAGTTTTTGAGTTATAGTTTATGTCATATATTAAAAAAAAATATTTTATATAGTGTTAGTAATGATTCAATTGTCAAAATATTTAAAGATATTAGACCTCGTCCGATACAGTTGCTAGAGATTTAAATCGTTTTTTCCTTATACTACCCGACTCGCTACCCATATTATTATTTTTTTTTGGCTATTTTATTTCTATATATCGGTTTATTTAAATAGTGAACCACATACGTTTCTGTTCTAGACTCGTCACAATCTTTAAATATTATTAAAAGAGAATCTTTAATTCACCAATGAAGCAATCAGAGCCATTGATTGTGTTTTAATCCTATATTTTCCACCCTTAGATCAAAGTGCTGACATCATCTTCCACAAATAAAATTCAAATACAATTACATTTAATTATAAAATCTATAATAATTATAGAATCTTTAAATTCAATAATTATTTTATCAATTGAAACATATCATTCTATTTATATACATGATATCAGTTTCTCTAATTAATATTGTTCATAATTTATCTCCCTTATTTATAGCTTTTGATTTCCAAATTCAAACTTGTTTACATTTTATTTTTTATTTTAAAAAAAAACTCATTAAACAAGCATATCAATAATTAAGTTATTAACCTATAAAATCTAAGCTAATCCCACTAAATCAACAAAATATTTAAGAGTCAAAGTTAAAGTCAATATTATTCATAATTTATCTCCCAGTATATCTCACATAAAATGAATCAATTTGAGATAACTGTTTGAATTTTAAAACTAATTAAATAAGAAAGTCAATTAATTTGAAGTTTTGAATTAATATAATTGATATCTTTCTTTTTTTTCCAGATGAATAGCCGAAAATCTCCAAGATGATATCTTAGGATCCCAAATTTTTTAGAAGATAATGATTTCCTTATTCAAAAACACCATATATATACGATTACACTGAAGTGATTATTCTTACGATTTTGGATTGGGTCCTATGATTTACAGTGTTCTTCTTGAGCAATCTTCTTCTCCAATTCTTTTTTCCAAGCTCTTACTTTACTCTGTTCTCCTTATTCTTCTTCAATTTCTTGCATTTACTATGCTCTTATTATTTGTTATTATTGTGTTCTTGTTGAGAGATCATAAAAAAATTAATCAATCTACTTTAAGCATATTAGTTTCATTCATTTAGTTACAAAAACAAAATTATACCATTTATATCGATTTTTTAATGTGTTGACCTATGTTTATCAAGAAAAAGCCATAAAAGTCGTTTTAATGCATGATGACAAAGCTAGTGGCATGGACCAAAAGCAGGATAAAGAAGTTTTATTGTTACACTTCAAATTGCATGAACAAAGACGTATCTATTGTTCCAAGGTTTTCAATAACTCTTTTATACATATTATTATAATCTTCGATTAAAATTTTATAATTTTATATTATTGAATTTGTTTATATCAATGGTTTTAGTTTCAAAATCACTATTATAGTACAAGACTTTACCGGCGTGGTGTCACTTACGTTATTTGATCGTGACGCAAAGAAACTTCTGGAAAAAACACACAACAATTGCTTCAAAAGTTTAATGAGGTTATCGATATTAACTTCATTTACATAAAACTAATTTTTATTTTTTGTTTGTCTATTTTTATAAACGTTAATTTTTTCATTTTTAGGAGGGTAATATGAAGATTTATCCGTCTACTTTGAAATTACTTTTGGATAAAAAGTTGGCGTTCAAAATTCAAATTTCTCATTATAATTTGAAGAACAATGTTGATGGTTATAAATATCAAACTTTAATATTGATAATAAAATCACTGTTAAATTGGAAAAAAAATTAACATCGAACATGTAACATTCTTTTACGAAACATACTACAAACACTACACTTATTAGATTCGTTTTTTTATATTTTAGTTGATCAACTAACATATTTTTATGCACTACAAATATAGGCGCCGTAATCTGATTCGTTTAACGTTTTATCGGCGAAATTCGGATGTCAAGACACATTAAATTTAAAGGTTTTAAATACAATATAACTAAATCTAATATTTTAAATACTTTAAAATATTATTAACTTTTAGACTGACATATGAATTTATTTTTTATATTTAGGATCCAGTTTTGTTTACTGGTGAATACGTCACACCCGCTTCGAATCTTGATAAAAGTATTGCAACAAGTCCACTAACTATGTGGACATCCTTTAAAACAGTGTCTAGACATGAAGAATTAAAACACAACTTGGAAGATGTTTACGATGGTGATAATCTAGAAACAATGTCCTCAACCAAACGATCATTAACATCAATAACAGATCGTACTTTCTGGAGAAGGCAAGCCAAAACTGTTAATTCCAAAGAAAGAAAAATAATATATGATTTTCATAATTTTATATGAGTAGTTGGGTGATTTAAGTACGGTTGATTTCATATTATGTTTACATACTATTTGGTGTTTGGGTTTGGTTTTTGATTACTTTGTTTCATACTATTCGTTTTTTGGATTAGAATTTTGATCATTTAAATACATTTTGGGTTTTATGAAATGTTGAATTATTCATCTATTTGTCTTTTGGGTTTAAACTCATATGAATTTAGAATTTTAATCATTTTTACTATATTATTCCGTTTGAATGTGAATATGTCAGCATTGTTACAATGTTATTCATTACAACTTCAATATAAACATTAGCAAATTACAACTTTTTATGAAATTATAAACTTTTATAAATCTTTTAACCGTTCTAAAACAATTATTTATAGTTATTTGTGAATTTATTGATAAATTTATTAGTAAACATTTACCATTGAATTTGAGCAATCATTAAATTTGTCCATTTTCTATTGTTAAATCAAGTATAAATGAATTTAAGCAATCGTTAAATTTCATATTCTATAATGTAATTTATGCACTAATTAATCAAATATTAGTACATATCCAAGTGGCCGGGTACCTCCAAGACAATAAGCAAACATGTAAATTATATGCAATTTCACAATATTGTAATTTTTTACTGGATTTAAATGAACAATTACTTCTTTCACTTGATTTAGATTCTTGATTACTCATATAAGGTTGTAATAAAATAAAATTCTGATTAATTGAAAAAATTGTTCAGCTAAACCTTAAAATTTTGAAATTTGATGGAAATTTTGTTATATGCCAAGTTAGGCTTCTTTTTGTGTTGTCATGTTTGCTGATTTGACTATGTAGGGTTCATTTGAAGTTCCATTTCTTTATAAGAATGTTAATGTTCACATCCAAGTGGAAACAATCATAACTGGTAAGTATTCTAAATAATTTTTTCACTTACATTAATCAAAACTATTATTTTAAGTGGTGCATTTTCATGGATGTCACACTGGTTGTCAATATATAGACGTTCTAGCGGTCTATAGAAGAATCATAGCGGCTTTATGAAGAATTTTGCTGCGTTTTCAATGAAGTATCACTCTGTCAACATTGTTCTCTATAGTTATTTCTCTTATTTTCGATATAGATGAATGTCACAACAATAAGACAGAAAGAGGTGTTAGTGACCATTAAAGATGAAAGTGTAATATATAATTTAAGAATAATATATAAAGTGTAAATTGTAGATTTATGATATTTATTTCAATGAAAAATAT